GGCCGGGGCTTGTGAGGGGAAGGGGAAGGGGGCCGCTATCCACTGAGGGGAGACCCCGGCCCGGGCCCAGGAGGCCTGGTGTGTCTCTGTCCCTGAGCCAAGAGGGCTCCCGCGGGTCACTGATTATTTTAACTGCGTCAACATCACATGTGGCTGCCACGCCTGGCGTGCTTCTGTGGATGGGGTCTGGCCCTTCGGAAGTATCTGAAAAACAGTGACTTGACTTGTTTAAAGCACTGCTCCCATCTATAGCTGTCGTCTCAGCGGACCCCAGGCAGTCGTCATGAGGATTATTGTGGGTTTATGTTTGCATGTGGTGTGGCTGGGGACAAGAATCTTATTTGCTTATGACGTGGTGCCACGGAGGCTTTGCTTATTACCACCTTGTGTTAGCTGCATCTATTTACCTGATTAAGGCGGCTGCTGTGATTTTTTGTTTGCTGGTTTATGTACTGTGGTGAGGGCTTTCCTCTTCCTCTGGTACTTATCTCTGTCTCCTTCCTTTTACTGGTAATGCACTTGGTCTGATCTTGTGTTGTGCCAGTTCACAGAGAGAAACCCCTTCTGATTGTTCTTCCAGGGCAGCCAAACCAGTGTAAGTTTGTCAGTCCTTCTTAATGATGAAGTCTCGGTTTCCAGCTGTTCTGGTGACCGAAACTGGCTAACGGAGGAGAGAGGTGCTTGCAGGTGCTTCCTCTGTTCTTGTGAGATCCTGCCTGCTGTCCTGTGTCCAGCTCTGGACCCTCCAACACAAGAAGCCATGGAGCTGTTGGAGTGGGTCCAGAAGAGGCCACGAAGATGGTCAGGGACTGGAGCAGCTCTGCTATGGGGACAGCTGAGAGAGTTGGGGTTGTTCAGCCTGGAGAAGAGGAGACTTTAGGGAGACCTTAGAGCACCTTCCAGTACCTGAAGGGGCTACAGGAGAGATGGGGAAGGACTTTTTACAAGGGCAGGGAGTGATAGGACATGGGGCAATGGTTTCAAACTGGAAGGGGGTAGATTCAGATTAGACATCAGGAAGAAATGTTTTACCATGAGGGTGATGAGGCCTTGGCCCAGGGTGCCCAGAGAAGCTGTGGGTGCCCCCTCCCTGGCAGTGCCCAAGGCCAGGTTGGACGGGGCTGTGAGCAGCCTGGGCTGGGGGAGCTGTGACCCCATGGGGGGTGGACTGGGGGGTCCCTTCAACCCAAACCAGGCTGTGGTTCTGTGATGATTCTATGAGCTGACAGCAGCAGCTGAGAAAGAAGGAAGGATTAGGTCTGTGCATCCGTCCTTCCTAGTTGCTGACGGTCTGCTTGGAGTGACTTGTGGAGCAGTGTCTTAACTAGGCTGTCAGGCCATGGGCTGCGATGGTGCCCTGACAGCTCTCAGCTTTTGAGACAACTGAGCATGAATGCGTGTGTAAGAGAAGGGGATATGATGGCAGGAGAGAGGCTAAACAGCAGCAGGTATTTAGATCTGTTTAAGCTACTGTGTAATCGTATCTTAAGTGTGCTAAAAGCCCATGCAGAAAGGATGAAAGAAGCTCGCTGGTGTGTGCCCCACAAACAGCCCAGCAGGCAGTAGAGGGGACCTGTGCCTCTTTCTGGCTGCCTCTCTTCCTCACTGAGAATATGGAAATGTGTTTTTTAATAGATGTAGTAATATTTTTTTTAATACATTTTTTAATCTATCTATAGATAAAATATATAATGCATGCATGCACTCATGGTGTTTCACTATTCAGTGCCTAGATCCGTATGTGTTTTAGCCAGTTTAGTAACTCCTCAGCTCCTAACTAATTGCATGACTTATGAAAAATTTCACTTCGAAGTCTTGTGCACTGTGTGAGGTGTGCTGCCTCAGAAATGAAACTAAATTGCCTGGAATTCTTCCTCCAGCAAAACTAGCTGTTGATCCAAACAGATCTGGTTCCCTCTGACAGTGCTCCTGAAGGCGCTGGTGCGTGTGTCAGCATCCCACCGATCCTCCTCTGAGATAGCTGCAAAAGCACTGCTGCCCTCGTTCCCTTTGAGCAAGTGCGGTTGCCTACCTAATATGGTACCTTAAAGGGTTATTACACTCACTGCTGCTGACTGTTCTCTGTTTTGACAAACATCCTGGCCACCGCAAGCTTCAAAATGAATTTTGTGGTTATGCAAAGCAGGTGCTTGCCTTAATGAGTGGTTTCAAACAAAGAACAACTGGTTTAACGCCCTAAGATCACAGCCCTGATGTGTTGGTATGGGGATTTTTCCCACCCGCTGTTAGTGGTGATAGATCTTGTCTTTCTAATTAGTTTTTTTCTCTCTGTTCTTTCATTCTACCAGATGTTTTGGATCCAGAGAGATTACTACAATGTCCATATAGTAAACATCATCGAATCAGAGCCTGTCGGTTTCCCTATCACCTTGTGAAGTGTGGGAAGGTAAGCTGGACTGCCAAAGGTGGCGCTGAATGGGAGTAATTCTGTGCGCATTCTCATTCTTGTTGCAATTTCTGGCTGGCTGTAGTAAGCTGCTGACAAACAGGAATATATTTTTGTATTTTATATAACTTTGTTATTTGTTTAGCAGTAGCTTCAAGCACAGGTTAATTCACCCAAGAGCTGTGTGGCCCTGTTGAAAGGGGAGAGATTCTTCATGGTTAGGTTGGGGAGGAAATCCTGGTCTCTTCCAGTAGCTCACGTAGAGGTCAGGTACATTTTTCCACTTTACATTGAAGAGAAGGCTCAGCCTGGGCTATGTGCACCCCTTCTGGATAGCCAGAGAAGCATTGCAATGTTGTGTACCTGATGACCAGACAGTTTTGGCAAGCTTGCCTAGTTAGGAGCGTGAGGTGAGATGGTGATTGCTAATCAGATGCAGCTGGTGTCTGTAAGTAATTAGCAGAAGTGCTCAGGGATTGTCTTCTGATCCATCTGATGCCACTGTGTGATTCTTTGCAGTGCCAAGCGTCTGGGCAGAGATTGTCCTTGGTGGTTTGTTGAATTTCCTTTGCATGCCCTATGCGTAAAATCCAACTAAATGTTTCCAGCTACCTCAGCTTCCCATTGCTTTGTGCAAAATGCAGCCCTGCCACGTAAACAGGGACCCAGCAAGCAGAACAAGTTGAAGCCTCTCGGCTCGACCCGCGTTAGCATTGAGAAGCTGCTGTGTGCGGCCAGAACAGCTTGCTCGAGCTGGTTGAAGCAAATGATGGACACGCGAGGATGCAGCAACCCTGGCTGTATAGAGGGGTAAGGAGAGCTGCCTTGGATGCGCCTGCAGCCCATGCTGCAGTCACGCATCAGTGGTAGGGGAGGAGAAGCTGCCTCGGGTGAGAATGCGGTCCCTGCCAGCAGAGCTGCGTCAGCCAGAACCAGGCAGACACTGGGACGGTGGCAGAGCTGTGTTTTTCGCAGTGACAGGAGCATCGTCTGCAGGCAGTGGACTGATTTGCTGTAGTGACAGCTGAGCACTGCCAGGAGAACCTGTGCCTGTGATAAAATTGTACTGGAATGGTAATCCTGTAGCACCAGAGTCTGCAGGTGGGATACTGTCAACTCCCTGGCTGTTTTGGAAGGTTTAAGGACTTTCTCTGCCTTTGTGTCTGCTTACTTTAAAAATACCTGAATGGTTTAGATCTGCCTAACGTCTCCCCCCTGTTGTTTTCAAAACAGTTTCATCTGTGCTTTAAACTATGCAGCCGTATTGCCGGTGTCACAGCAAACGGTAGGAAGTTTACCTGAGGATGTGTTTCATTTCGATCAGCTCAAGGGTGGCTTAGTTTCTCACTGAATTGTGTTTTAAAGAACAGCTGTGTTAGTTTTCCCTTGCATTTTTAGTAAGTGTCTGAACAGTATCTTGTCATTCCTTGATTAGTCTTCTTTTAATGCAACATCACAAATATCCTTGGTTGTTGGTTTTTTTTTTTCTATGAATTAGCAAGAGATAAGTGAACTTGAGACATACGGCATATGATTTTGGTTTTCTCCTATCTAGAGCAACCCTGAAGTTGCAAAGCAGTTGGCCACGTGCCCCTTCAACGCTCGCCATCTAATTCCTCGAGCTGACCTCAGCAATCACATAACAAAGTGTGATGACAAAGAGTTAACTGAGCAAGATACAGGTAAGAGAATGTGCTCAGAGATGTTTGTTCACCCTGGGGACTGAGGTGTTGGTCAGCTCAGCAGGGTAGCTGGGTAGCTCACAGCGTAACTGAAAAGCAGGAGTCAGATTTTTGTCTGCAGCTTTGCATGACACAGCAGCTTTGGGGCAACTTGAGCCTTATTTGTTTTGATTTATGGGACAAGTTCATGAGAATATTGCAGATGCTTCTGGTGGGCCTTGCACGTATTTCATTACCAGACTTGTTGAATAGAAACGTTCTGCCCTGGACCGTGCACACGGCAGTTCCTCCAGCAGGAGCTGGGCTGCTCTAATGACCAGAAGGCCAGTCACTCCACGTTTTAAAGCTGGTCTCCCCTTGTTGAGGTTTGACCACTATTGTCATGTGAAAAGTTGATTTCTACCAAGCAGGTGTCTAAGCTATGGAAAGCCCTGTAGCCGTTCTCCAGGGCAGCCCGAGTAGTTCACTCCCACCAAGAGATGGGGCAGTTCCTCTTCTGGGCTGCTCTGCTGCTGCACTTGCTTCCTCTGCCACGTAATTAAGATTTCGGTCTCCTGCGCAGTAAGACAAGGTAGGAGGGGGTCTGTCCAAAACCCCCAAAATATTTAGGAAGGCGTCCTGTGCTGTGCTGTGTCTTTTCCATCCCCTGCAGTGGCTCTTTTAACTATTGCCACGCTACAGAGCAGATAGATGGTTTTCTGTCTTCTCTGGAGTTGCACTGAGGCTGGCAGTGATGCCTGCATTCATGTAAGCAGGTTTCCTCTTCACTCAGGCATTCCGGCTGCCAGGTTCCAGGGAGCAGAGTCTTTTCCTGTTCATTGAAAAAGGCGAATTTAAAGTTGCTCAGTGTCAGATCAGTGCCTGGCTGCTGGGTGAACCTGACCCGCTTGCATTGCACAGGGTTTCCTCTCAAGTCAGGAGCTGTTTTACAGCTTGATCCAAAGCACTTCATGCCTCTGAAGCAGGATGGACTGCTAGTCACTGTGTTTTCTCTCTTCCTGAAGTGAATCAGTCCTCTGGCTTCCGAAGGGAGCAGATGAATGCTGTGAGCACATGGCAGCCACCTCCATGCGACGAAGACTGGGAAGCAGGTGAGGAACTTCTCTGTCTGTCACCCCACTGCCTTCTCTGCAGTCTGTCCTCCAGCTCCACTTGGTCCAGTGTGAGTCCAGAGATGCTGCTCACTTGGGTCCCACTTGCAAGACTCCCTGCTTGTGCTCATTCCTGAAAACGTGCATCTCCACCTAGCAGGCTTTTCTTGATATAGAGAACTATTTAACATGCCTGCCTGACTGGCATGGAGATTTATTTCCAAGCATCTGCTCCTTCCCACATAAGCTTTTGTGTTTTACATGCAGTGATGACAATGGAAACATGGTAACTTTTAAGTTAAATGACAGTGAAGCAGACACATTCATTGTTAGATCAACTTTTACTCCCTCTGGAACATATAGAAATATGAGTTATTCCTGATCTCATGATGGTTGCTGGAGTTTCTTAGTTCTGAGCCACGACATGTGTTTCCTCTGCAGAGTCATCAGAGCAGTCAGATCCTCCTTTTGTCTGGGGCATGACCAGTTCTGCCATAACCAGGTAGGCAGTGCAAGTTTGATTCCCTACAGCAGTGGTTTGTGTAGAGGAATACTGCAGCCTGCTCCCAACCCATGGCTGGATGTGGACTGACTTTGCTGCTGTACAAACCCTGGGAAGAGGGATGCTGATTAACAGGGCACATTCGTAGGGTGCGTGTTCAGTGTTAACTGCTTTCTCCTGTGACTGGCCCGTACAAGAAGGAAGCCCTTAGGAACACAGCTGCTCTGTGCACGTGGCAGGGTGCTCTTCTTGCCCCTGGCCTGTGTTCGGTTCCTGCTGGGTGTCTGGCCGATGTGCAGGAGAGAAAGGTGCTGAGCCTTTATGGCTGCCTGTGGAAATGTGGCTGGGTGCCTCCCTCTGGAGCCGTTTCAAACCGCTGCTGAGCTGCTGCTGAGCTAATGGTCAGCTTGCAGTGCCTTGTGACCTGCTGTCACCTTGGACGTGGCAGATGTGCTGACTTTAGGGCCCTGAGAGAGCAGAAATTCCCCACCACCTTGCCCTTTGCAAACTGTAATCGCAGTTTGGGTCTGGGAGAGCGAGGAGTGGCCGGCTGTGAACCGAATGGAGCTGTCTTGTCTGATTGGTCTGACAGTGGATCACGATCGCAGGCTGTATACCAGATGTGGCACCACCAGAGCTGCCAAAGCACACTGTCAGTCCTGTCTAAGCTCGTGTGCAGCAGCAGCCCTGCACCTCACAGCTCTGCAGTTCTGTGTGAACTCAGCCATGATTTACCTCTCCTTCCGTAACGGCAGTGACACCGGGATTCACTTGTTATGCTTTATGAAAAACTTCCTAGTGCTTAGAGCATGTGTGACCCTTCTGAACACTGCCACCTCCGAGTGTGTGTACCATCCCCTTTTGTCACTGCTCTCCTCCATGCTATAGCAAAGGGCAGAGATCTGAGCAAATGCATTTGTCAGGAGAAGTAACTGAAGTCTTACAGTTCCAGTACCACCTTTGAAGGGAAGATCTGCTCGCCTTCAGGAGTACGTACCCCCAAGTCCTTCCCATACGCCACGTCATGGAAACACTGTAAGTTCTGTGCATGTGGTTTTGGCACTGCGACCTCTGTAGATGTAGACAGCTGCTGAAATCCCTGGCTGCAGCAGTGGGCAGGGGGGGTGGTATAACACTCGCCTCCTTGAGAGCGGCTTCTGAGGGAATCTGATGGTTGGATCATCCTCTGCATTCTTTATTTCATATTCTTGACAGACCCGTCACTGCAGTGGTCCAACTTAAACTGGAGCCCAGCTGCTCAGCCGCTTTGGCTCTGTCTCTGTCTCTATAAACAAGTCCTTCCACACTGCCTACACCGACCCCTTCCACCCACACCCTCCTCCCTGGCTTGAACCAAATTATTTCCTTGCTTTGTGCAACTCTGCTCACTGTCAGATGCAGCTGAGTCAGAGCAGGGGTAAAACTGCTGCTTAAACCAGCGCTACGAGGAGGGCAGAAAAACCATCAGACTGTGTCTGGGGGTGGGAGGGAGCTTCCCCAGGTGAAGTGGCTGCTGCTGAAATCACAGACTGTCATTCGCCATTAGCAGCAATGTGCTTTGCAGGTGCTTTGAGAAACACCCGACTTGTTCCCCGCTTGGAGCAACCGAACCTGGTGCTCTGGGGCCCAGGCAGGCCCGGCTGCTGCATGAGCCGGTGACCGCAGCTGCCGCAGCACGGGCTGGAGCTGCCGAACCAAACCGAAGTGTCACTTGTAGATACGAGCCTTGCTGCCGCAGCGACGAGGGCTGCTTCAGCGAGGGCCGCTGTCACGTGGGCGAGCGGAGAAAATTCTTGGGTTTTTCTCTGTCTGGTGCAAAAAATGTCTCGACCTTTTCAGAGTTTGGAGGAACCCCCTGGAGGTTTGTTCCCCCTGCACTGACCTCTCACTGCCTGGAGCACAGAGCTCCTGCGGACGGCAGATGCTCTCTGGACCTGGCGGGAGGCCTCCAGACTCGCCTGTTGCTGCACGCGTAACTGTTCTTTGTTGGGGGAGAGGGGAGGCAGGAATTGTTGAAATCACTGGAAATACGTGTTTGGGACGGTGTAAATGTTTGCCTTAAGCGGTGTATTTCTAAAAGTGTATGCAGAGTACAAAGTAAGATCTAAATGTACGCTCACAAAGAATTAAAAAGTTTAGCGTTGTCAAGGTTCTTGTTGGCAATTGAGAATAAAAGTGTTGTGAATACTTTTAGGCCCATTTTCTATTTCTAAAAAGCATCTGCAGTGATTTGTTACACTCTTCTTCTGTTGAGTGAGTAAATGCTTACACAGTAAGCCCTCCAGTCAACCTTCATTTGATTATTATTGTGTTGTCACTTTGAATGGAATCAGTAACAAAGTAATAAATAATTGGGCCTCATGATCCTCGGCTCATTAATTGCCGGTTGGTGAAAGTCTGGCAATACTTAGTGCAGTAACTGCCTGGATTTTGCTGGGTCTCCACTTGTCTGCCCAGCAGAGGAGGTGAGCGTCAGGTGCCCCTGCTGCCAGGAGGACGTTATCCCAGGCCCCAGCTCCTTGTCAGGGTGAGTCCTGGGACAGCACAGCTCTCCAATAGCCCCCCCTTCCTGGAAAGGACCAGATGGGCTTGGAAGGTCGTGGCTGTGACTTCAAAACGTCCCCTGGCCACAGTGACCAGGGGATAGGGACAAGAAGTCGGTTTGTCTTGTAGGGTGGGTGCAGCCAACACAGGATCTGAAATCCCCTGTCCTGGGCAGCTTCCTCAAGCACATCCTGCGTGTGTTGCTGCCTGTGAAGAGCAGGGAACCCATCGTGTTACTGCTGCGATCTGGGAACACAGGATTAGCAGGCTGTAAGGGTGTAAAACATGAAGGTGACCCCCCCATCATTATAACTCTTTAAAATCCTACTATCATCTATCATTGGGCCGTTGGGGTGACACTCCCAGCTGGCCCCTGCTGCGTGGGCTCCAGGGTTGGACATCCCAGGGCCCTGTCACCAAAGCCCAGGCTCTGCAGACAAATGAGGACTTCACGGCGCTGCTCCAGCCTGGCCGTGGCCGCCTCCTTGCCCGTAAGGAGGGGCTGCACCAAGCCAGCACCTGAGTCACTCTGGAGTTCCCGTGATGGCCGAGGGCAGCGGCACCTTTACTACGTGCAGCACAGCTGAGGGCCCTGACAACACCTGCCCTGTTTTGTGAGTCTGACACCATCTGAAGCCCAGCCGGGTTGTCACTTCTACAGCCCATTTCCCAGACATTTCTGTCACTGTTCTCTGGTTCCCCCCCTGCCTTTTCCTCTCAGCTTTTTGCCTCTCTAAATCAAGGTGCAAAGATACCCAGGAGCGGCAGAAGAACAAGAGCCAAATGACTGCCTGGGGAGGAGCTGGGCAGGTGATCGCTGCCAAAAATCCACCCAGGGCTGCAGCAGCGCCTGCCGCGTGGGGCTGGGGGGTGCAGGCCTCGGGCGAGAGGAAGCAGAGCGAGGCAGGAGCACCCTCTGCAGAGCAACGACCACAACTGTTGTACTTGCACAGAACGTGACAGCATGGCCTTTGGGCTGTTACAGCACGTGAAGAGCTGAGACGTTCAGTGCCGACACCACGGGCAGTGGCACCGTTGGCTTGGTTCTGCTCTGCAGGAGGTGATGGTTTTTTAGTGTCGGTTGCAATCCAGAACTACAGGGTTAACATTTGGAAGCAGTAGACATAATACATGCATCCGTATTACGCTTTGGTTACCAGACAAGTACAAACAGCCTCTAGTACTTATCTGTGCTATCTACCTTTGAGCTTCGGTTCCACCCCTCGCAGTCGCAGCGCCGATGATTCATTTTCTCCCTCTCCAACCTGCATAGCTGTTAGACACTTTTCACGCTTTTAACTGCTAAAATTCTGCCTGTGCTTCATCTCTTTGTTTCAAACCTTTTACCTCTCTGCTTTGTACCCTCCTAGATTTCTTGTGCACATAAACACTCACCTCAAAGCTACAACCACGCTACTTCTAGGCTTGAGCTGCTGCTTATCACACTGGAGTTCTTCAGGGGACCCCCCAGATCAGCCACACAGCCCTGTCTCAGCAGATGCCAAAGGCTGATCTGATCTGATCTGTGTGTGCAGTTTATACCTACAGCACTGGATGAATGGTTTTGCTTTTTTTGCATTCTTTGCTTGGTATTCTTTGATTTAGTGTTTAGTAGCTGTGAGGAACTTGAATTACTGCAGAACAAAACATAATTGCAAGAGAGCGATGCTCTAACCCCTAACCTAACCCCATCTCACGTTTTAAATTCACGATCTCTGTATCAACAGCCACATCTTGCTGTCCAAGTCCTCCCTCTGCCACCCTTCACCCGGGAAGGCTGGGCAGGACCCTGGGACAGCCCCACCAGCACCTGCAGCAGTGGCTGCTGGAGGGCAGCGACAGGAGGGTCCAGAGCTCCCCAGCGCCCGAGCGGGGGCAGGCAGAGCACGCCGAGGTCCTGGGGCTGGCTCCCCACTGCACCCTGCTCCCCACCTTCCCGCCCCACAGCGCAGGGGAACCCGTTTCCTACTGACACAGACTGGGTTATCCCACAGCACCCCTGTCACGCTCTCCCTGCTGCTGCCTCCTCTGCAGAACCCTCCTCCTCCTCCATCTCCAGTCTCCTCACTGCACTTCCTCCCTGTGCAGAGGATTTCCCTGTGTTCCCACCTGGCTGCGCCCTCCCTCGCTCACAGCAGCCTCGTCTCTGCCCTTCTGCCACCGCTTCCCCTTCAGATGGGGCATCTGCCACCGCACACTGTCCCATGCAGGCACAGTGGGGGGCTGCGGGAGGAGACCACCACGCAGCTGGCTCCTGCAGCCCCCCTTCCCTTCGGCTGGGGCTTTGCTCCCTTTTGCCACCCCGGCCCTTCTCGCCCCTCACAGGTTCAACGCCGGCCGGGCTTTGGCTTTCACTCCTGACCAACGTCTGTCCCTGGGAGCCCACCCCTGCTTCCGTGCTCTGAACTTCCCACGGCCAACCTGGCCAGCAGCCTCCTGCCCCAGTATCTACAGCACTGG